ACTCATTCATCTAGTTTAGAGCCCAGCCCACTTGCCTTGAGTCCTCCCCTTCCGTTACCTACCTCCACTAGTTCAATATATCCGTAATTAAGGTCACTTCTGGTTCCTGGTCAGGCTCCTCCCAGCCTGGCCCGCAACATCCTGTTGACTGAACTTCCACCCGGTAAAATTACTTATTACCCCTAGACCGGAACTTACTATAAAACATTTTCACGGAAGTCCTACATTAACCCGACAGATGACTGGTATCCTTCAACCCTGACATTACCAAATGCCCCTCCGACTTACACCGGGCCCAACACACGTTGATGAAAATGGCCAAATACAACAGGCAGATCCAGTGTTTGTCTATGTCCCCTTCCCCACAACTGATCTATTCAATTGGAAGACTCCTAACTCTTCGTATACCGACAAACCTCGGGTCATGACAGATTTGGTTACCTCTATTATACAAACTCACAATCCCACATGGGCCGATTGCCAGCAATTATTATTAACTTTATTTGTGAGGAAAGGACCCGGATTAATTAAGCAGCTATTAAAGCACTTGAGGAAACGGCCCGTACTCAAAATCCGGCCAATCCGGCTGCATGGGTTGCAGCCCATTATCCAAATGTAAACCCAAATTGGAATGTGAATGGTGCTGACATGCCCCAATGAAGGGCTTATCGGGAAGCCATTATTGCTGGCATGAAGGCAGGAGGGAAGAAGGCAATCAATATGTAGAAGACGGTTGAGGTGTTGCAAAAGGTTGATGAGTCACCTAGTGCCTTTTATGAAAGATTATTGGAGTCATATAGATTGTATACTCCTCTTAATCCAGAGGCCCTTGAGAATTCTCGAATGATTAACTTAGCATTTGTCAGCCAGGCCCAAGGTGATATTAAAAGAAAATTGCAAAAGTTAGAGGGATTTGTAGGGATGTCCATATAATAGCTAATGGAGATCGCAAATAAAGTGTATATGAATAGGGAAACTAAGATAAAGCGGGAGGAAGAACGTAAAATGAGGAAGAAGGCAGATATGCAGCGGTAGCTATCACAAGTGTAGAAAGACAGGGAAGGGAAGTGAATAAAGGAGTTGAGAATAGGCTGAGTAAGGGACCTTTATGTAGGAATCAATGTGCGTTTTGTAGACAGGAAGGACATTGGAAGAATGAGTGTCCACATAGAGAGCATTATGAAAATAATAGACAAGGAGAGAGAAGAGTATGGGGAGGTTTTAGTGGTAGTTATAGAGGAAGAGGAAGTTTTGGAGGGAACGGTAGGAATAGTAGAGGGAGTTTTCAAGGAGATAGATATTATCAACCTACTCAGAGACCAAGAGATAGAGAGGATAGAGATTTTGTGGGTCTGGCTGACACTATCATGGAAGACTATTGATACCGACCGGGCTCCATCCCCCTTGGCCGAGTGGAGCCTATGGTCGATGTAGCAACAGGGGGAAAGAGAAGTTCTTTCATGATTGACACTGGTGCTGAACATTCCGTGGTGACTAAACTGGTGGCTCCGCCTTCAGCAAAAACTATAACTGTGATAGAAGCTACTGTGAGAAGCGCAGCTAGACAGGTTCTTAAAAGTCGCACTTGCATTCTGGGAGGCCATTTGGCGAAGCACCAGTTTCTATATATGCCAGAGTGTCCGATTCAACTTCTAGGACGAGATCGATTATCGAAGCTTCCAGCCCAGATAACTTTTCAACCTAATGGATTAACGTCTCTCAGGTTTAATGTTTTACCAGGCATAATGGCGGTGTCGTGCCAAGGGAAGAAGAATGGCGCTTCTACTCCATAATGACAGGTTTAAACCTAAAGAGTGATGAACCTTTATTTGACATTCCAGGAGTATGGGCAGAGAGTAATCCACTTGGGCTTGCTCGTAATATTCCACCTATACATACTGAACTAAAGCTTGGGGCCTATCCTGTGAGCCTACGTCAGTATCCTATACCTCAAAAGGCTAAGAAAAACATACAGACCTACTTGGATAAGTTCGTAAGGTATGGCTTCCTAAAATTCTGTACTTCCCCCTGGAACACTCCATTATTACCTATTCAGAAACCAGGATCAGATGAATTTCTTCCTGTACAAGATTTGAGAGCAGTTAATGATGCAGTAGTCAATATACACCCAGTTGTACCAAACCCTTATAATCTGCTTGCTTTGATTCCAGGTGGGGCAACCTACTTCACAGTTCTAGACCTTAAGGATGCTTTCTTTTGCCTTCGGATTGCTGCTGAGAGTCAGTGTATCTTTGCTTTCCAATGGGAAGATGCTGTTACTGGTTCAAAGCTTCAGATGACCTGGACCAGACTACCTCAAGGGTTCAAGAATTCACCTACCCTATTTGGATCTGCATTAAGTCAGGATTTGCAAGATTTCAAGTCCATCCCAGGAGAATGTGTATTGCTTCAATACGTGGATGATCTTTTGATAGCAGCTGTTACTAAAGAGATATGCCAACAAGCAACTTATGATTTGCTTCACATTCTATGGAGAGCAGGATACAAGGTATCAAGGAAGAAAGCGCAATTGTGCCAGTCAACTGTTAAATATTTAGGATTCCATATTTCCGAAGGTCAAAGAATAATGGGACCTGAAAGAAAAGAAGCAGTGTGTCGGATATCTATACCTAAGAATAGAAGACAAGTGCGAGAATTCTTAGGAGCAGCAGGATTCTGTAGGATATGGATTCCTAATTATGCGATACTGGCGAAACCTTTATATGAAGCTTTGAAAGGCACAGAATATGACCCCTTTTTGCGGACCTCTGAACAACAGAAGGCATTTGAGGATGTTAAGAAAGCACTTATGAGTGCCCCAGCCCTAGGTCTACCAGATCACACGCGTCCTTTCTATTTGTACGTACATGAGCAAAGAAGAATGGCTGTGAGAGTATTAACTCAGTATTTGGGATCATGGCAAAGACCTGTAGCTTATATGTCAAAACAGTTGGATGCAGTGGCCTGTGGTCTTCCACCTTGTCTGCGAGCAGTGGCCGCCGCTGCCCTGCTGGTAGCAGAAGCTGAAAAGCTCACATTGGGTCAGGAACTCTATGTGCGAGTACCCCATGCAATACAGACCCTATTGGATTACAAAGGAAATCACTGGTTTAGCAACAGTCAAATGACCAAATATCAAGCTATGTTATGTGAAAATCCAAGAGTACACCTCGAAACTGTCAATAATTTGAATCCAGCTACCCGTCTGCCCCAGACTACTGAAAGTCAACATGATTGTTTGGAGATAATGGATGAAGCGTTTTCAAGCAGGCCTGAACTTTATGATTTCCCCATCCAGAATCCGGACATACAGTATTATACGGATGGTAGTAGTTATGTGAAAGAAGGTATACGTTATGCAGGGTATGCGGCCACTGTCAAAAGGGACATCAGCACAGAAGGCGGAACTGATTGCATTAACAAGGGCCTTGCAATTAGCTGAAGGGTTGAGAGTGAATATTTACACAGATTGAAATACGCTTTTCTAACCACCCATGCCCATGGAGCATTGTATAAAGAAAGGGGATTGTTGAATTCAGAAGGAAAGAAATCAAATATGCAGCAGAAATACTCCAACTGTTAGAGGCGGTATGGGAACCAAAGGAAGTCGGTATTATACATTGCAGGGCACATTTGAAAGGTGATAGTGATGTAGTAAAAGGAAATCGCATGGCCGATAGTGCAGCAAAACATGCCGCTGAATCCGGACTTGAATCAGTTGGGTGAAGGAATTACTCGGCAGCAGGTTGTAGAGTTGGGTAAAACTATGGAGGAAGTACAGAAATGGATGCAAGATAGGTTACCTGTGAACATATATCCACCTGTTCATTCCTATAAACCGGGAGATCAAGTGTGGATAAAATAATGGAATATTGTTCCATTTGGTCCAAAGTGGAGGGGTCCTTATGTTGTTCTTTTATCTACTCCAACAGCTGTAAAGGTGGCAGAAGTGACTCTGTGGATTCATCATTCTAGGGTTAAACCAGCGACAGATTCTTCGCAAGCTATTCCAGATTCTGAAAATCCTTGCAAGATCCGGTTAAAGCGGGTAGCTCAGTCGGAGTGAGAAATAATACGAGGAGATATTGGGACATCTTAGTTGAAAGTAACAACAGATATCAGCAAGTAGGTGTTTTGACGGCCATAATAAAGCCTGACCACCTACCTACGTGTCATAGCCAGAGTGTCTCGAAGGGACCTCTGTGAAGAAAAGTGAGGATCAGAAGAACGACAATCCTTGCAGCCCTCACAATCGGGAAGCTGAGGTGCCGTCGCACGGTCGAAGAGTAGAAATGAGGACTTCTGAAATAATATGTTATTTTATGTGTTTAGGCATTTTTGTGATTTTTCAGGAAGGTAAAGGTGAGGGCATACAGAGTTGTGTTAGCTGCGTTAAGACTACAAAAACAGGTAACCAAATATCCCAAACTCTCATTTGGCACTCACAGTATAAGTGTAGGGGATCTGTATTTAAGTGTAGATATTTAGATATAGATTACAGTCTGTGCAAACCAATATCAGGAGAGCCTAAATGTTTTGATCCCCAATTCCAACCCTGTACAATTTGGTTGGTAATTCGGAACAGTAACTCCCAGGGGACCTTGATAAATAGGACTGTGATAAATACCATACATTCTACGGGCATTCTACTATTTGATGCATGTAAGGCGATCTCTGGTAGTGGAAAACCTTGGAATGTATGTGGTAATCTTAAATGGGAACAAACTTATGGGTTTAATGATAAATATTTATGTCCCAGTAAGAGAACTACTGATCCTGATTGCCCAAATAGGGATTTTAATTTTTGTCTATATTGGTCTTGTGTAGGGTGGGCGACATGGGCAAAAACAGTGGATCAAGATATGATTATCCAAAGGTTGCACACTACACCACACTGTAAGTCTATGGAATGTAATCCTGTCTGTGACAAAACCAATCTCGCCACTGTGCATTGGAGGAGCCTGGTTGCCCGCCTGCTGCCTTAAGACTATGGCCCCCCACCTCGAGGAGAATATAATTATACATCAAATTTCCCAAGCCAAAATAATAAATCATATGTACCATACCCTCAAAAACAGAACCATTATGGATGCAATGACAAGTATCAGAGGCCAGATGAACAAAATGAAATGCCTTCTTCCCAGAACAAGTATAATGATCAATGGGGCAGCTTTAGACAGCCATTCCGTGAGCATGATATTGAAAGCAAGCACAAAGAATATGGAGGCGATATCTGTAGATCAAAAGATACTTTATTACACCATGCCCTTCGGACGTTTAGTGAACCACATCTGAATAAGGATTATAATATTAAGCCTTTTGATAGGTACAAAAGAACACTTGTTCTTTTAAGAGGTGTCCCTGGCTCTGGAAAAAGTACATTGGCACGTGGTCTGCTTGACCAGTGTCCAGATGGCATCGTGTTCAGCACTGACGATTACTTTGGCCAGGAGGAAGGCTATACATATGATGTTAAACTGCTTGGAGATGCACACAATTGGAACCAAAACAGAGCCAAGAGAGCAATGGATGACGGAAGATCTCCTATTATCATTGACAATACTAATATTCAGAAATGGGAAATGAAACCCTACGTACAAATGGCCATAGAAAGAGATTACGGTGTGGAGTTCCTGGAACCAGACACATGGTGGAAGCTTGACCCATCTGAGTTGGAAAAGAGAAATAAGCATGGAGTACCGCGTGACAAGATTTCCAAGATGTTGGAACGATACGAATATGATATGACTGTTCCAAATGTTATGGACTCGGTGGAACCTCCACACTTGAGTTCCTCAAGGAGGGCTCCACAGCCCATGCAGAGATGGGGATCATCTGTGGACTCTTTACAACACAGCACATCATTCCACAACAGATGACCGTTATTTAACTAAAGTTCGTTGTTGTTTTTTCCTTTCCCCACCAGCATTTTTTACCTGCACTGGAGAATCTTTATATTCAGTGTTTTAAACCTCAGATAGGGGGTAATACCTCAGAAACCAGGGAATTGTGTGCAGATATTTTTTTTCCTTCTGCTTGCCCTTTTTAAAGTTTTTGTTGGGCAGCACTTTTTTTGCTGTCCGTATTTACTTTGGTGGGTTAATATCATTATTGTGCAGAAGAGACTTTTGCTGTAATAAATATTTATGTTTTATGAAAAAAAAAAAAAAGACTATGGCCCCATGTTGAAACGCTTGATTTTCCCCTGCAGAGACACGAAAGCCTGGTCATTCGGTGCTGGCCCTGTTTGAGCGGTGATACCCCGGATAGCTATGCCATGGAGCCCATTCGTATAATGAAAGACTATGGGAAAGACTTTGGCTCCATGGCAATTGAACTGTATGTGTGTGCTCTGAGCGCCATTCAGTAATAATGTGCGCTCAGATTTGAGTTAAGAGTTGAGTTGAGGATTAAGAGCACAGTGGGCCTTGTGCTGACAATTATGATGGGCCTAATTACGGAATCTTATCGACCAAAAACACTAAAATAATCATACCTCCCAAGCGTCATGTATCTGATGGAGATGGTGCTGGAGGGAAACTCATAGGATGCAGCTATAAGAAAACACATACTCTATGCTAATTTCTCTCTAATTTATACTTTCATCTTTCAAGTAAATCCATAACCCCTAACAGCAGTGTCCAGTGAAGCAAGAAGTCAATGGGCGGGGTAAAAGGGTGTGCCACTGGTGCAAATCACGTGACAAGACCTGCCAAAAGGGGTGAACATGCCCAAAAAGGGGGCATGTTTGTCCAATGAATTGGAAGGTCAACCTGGCATGAATGCATGTCAGGCTGCCTGCCAATCCTGCAGGCTGTCCAACTAAGGGCATACTATGCAGGCAGCACCTTGAGCTTGACATAAATGCGTCTAATGATGCGCTCACTCCATTCTTTCTAAGGACTGTCCCCTAGCACACGCTGGTCCACTTGTCTCCTTACCTTCTTACTAGCAGGCAGAATTTCCTGGTATATAATCTGAGACAGAGAAAAGGTGTATGTAGTGAGTGTATAAGAAAGGGGACATGCCACAGTGTTAGAGAGACCAACGTCTGCATTACCTAAACTAACTTTAATGTCAGCCAGTGCACACAAGTTTTGTTCCCATACATCCCTCTTAAGCTTCCAAACTTAAAGGGACACTATAGTCACCAGAACAACTACAGCTTATTGTATTTGTTCTGGTAAGTAGAATCATTCCATTCAGGCTTTTTGCAGTAAACACTGTCTTTTCAGAGAAAATAACTCCACTGGCCGCTCCTTAGATGGCTGCTAGAGGTTCTTCCTGGGGCAGTACTGCCTAGTGTGCAGCACTGCCATTCAGTGTCTCCACCCTCTGCATGCAGACACTGAACTTTCCTCATAGAGATGCATTGATTCAATTTATCTTTATGAGGAGATGCTAATTGGCCAGGGCTATGTTGGATTTGTGCTGGCTCTGCCTCTGATCTGCCTAGTTGACAGTCTCAGCCAATCCTATGGGGAAGTATTGTAATTTGCTCAGACCACCATTTCTGAGCCAGCAGCTGCAAAATTGAATACAAGTAATATTTTACTATATTTAGGGAGGCAAGAAGGGGCCAGGGTGGTGGTTTTAACATAATAGGATCAGAAATTCATGATTGTGTTCCTGACCCTATAGTGCTCCTTTAAGCAAGAGTATGTGAAGAGTAGTTAAGGTTGCCACCTTCCTTGGAAAAAAATACCAGCCTTAATCATTTGTATAATTAATTAGTTATGCGTGACATCACATGATGTAAATCACAAGCAGTGACATCAGAGAAAATTCTGTAAAATCACCAACAAACTACTCACAGTTTGATTCTGCTGTATAGATGGATTGCTCCCAGTGTCTCCCTGTCTCCCAGTCTCGCAAGTCACCCAGTGTCTCAATGTCCCTATGTATCACAGTGTCAGTGTCCCCATGTCGCCCAGTCCCCTAGTCTCCCAGTGTCTGTGTCCCCATTTCTCCCAGTGTCCCAATGTCTCAGTGTGTCCCCATGTCACTAAGATACTGGGGACACTGAGAGACATGGGGACACTGAGAGACATGGGGACACTGAGACAGTTAGGGAAACTGGGAGAAATGGGGACACAGACACAGACACTGGGAGACATGGGGACACTGAAACATTTGGGGACACTAAGACACTAGGGACACAGACATGGGAACACAGACACTGGGAGACTAGGGGACACTGGGAGACTAGGGGACACTGGCTGGGAGACAGACACTTGGGGACACTGGGAGACATGGGGACAGTTGTGGACATAGACATGTGGACACTGGGACATACAGGGACACTGGGAGACATGGGGACACCAGGCACACTGAGACACTAGGAACACAGACACATGGAGACACTGAAACATTTGGGGACACTAAGGACACAGACACTGGGAGACTAGGGGACACTGGGAGACTAGGGGATACGGGGAGACTAGGGGACACTGGCTGGGAGACAGACACTTGGGGAGACATGGGGACAGTTGTGGACATAGACATGGGGACACTGGGACACATGGGGACACTAGGCACACTGAGAGACATGGGACACAGGCACTGGGAGACTTGGGGACACAGACACTAGGGACACTGGCTGGGGGACATAGTGTCTCTATGTCCCAATGTCTCCCAATGTCCCTATGTCTCACAGCGTCCCCATGTGTCCTCTAGTGTCTCAGTGTCCCCATGTTTTCCAGTGTCTCCAAGTGTCTGTGTCCCCAGATCTCCCAGTGTCTGTGTCCCCATGTGTCCTAGTGTCTCAGTGTCCCCTAGTGACAGTGTCCCCATATGTCCCCAAGTGTCTCAGTGTCCCCTAGTGTCTTGGTGCCCCCATGTTTTCCAGTGTCCCCAAGTGTCTCAGTGTTCCCAGGTCTCCCAGTGTCTGTGTCCTAGTGTCTCCTAGTGTTCCCTAGTGTATGTGTCATCATGTGTCCCCTAGTGTCTCTGTGTCCCCATATGTCCCCTAGTGTCTCACTGTCCCCTTGTTTCCCCTAGTGTCTCAGTGTCCCCATGTGTCCCTGCTGCCTTTCCCCCCATCCCTCACTTACCTGAGCTGTAGAGCTGCTGTCTGGACTCTCTGTGCTGTATCAGTGATTAGTAGAGAGAGGCAGGGATATTCTGTAACTTCCTATCCCTGCCTCTCTCCACACACAGTGACCCCTACTGGCCGGTGCTGGTATTGCAGAGTAATTTCCATTTATTCTGAGAAAATTACCTGCATTTGTATTGCCGGTATTACTGCAATACCGCAAAAATTTTTTTTAAATGGGCCTATTCCATGGGCCTGGGCCTGGAGCTGCAGCTCCATCAGCCCCTATGTTAATCCGGCCCTGGTTGTTTGCACATAGATGATGAAGGGCGGGCAGTGGCTGAACTTACAAGCCACATGGTTAAACTGATGCATGTACCTACTCAGGTCTGGAATGGGTATAATCCTAGTAGTTGGTTTGGAAGTTGGTATGAGCATCTTGGAGGGATTAAGGCGTTAGGCGGAGTAGTATTTATTATATTCTTATCTCTCTTTCTGCCCTGCCTAATTCCATTAGTGGTCAGATCTATACGCAGTATCATAGAGAGTACTATAGAAAGAAAGACAGCTGCTCATGTAATGGCTGTCTATAGATATGAATCCCTAGCCCAAAGAGAACATATTCAGGATGAGGAATGCTGAAGGAGTTTGTGATGATGCCAAGATGCTTATAAGGTCTGCTCTGGTCCAATGGCTACTTGAGAGGTGTTGGTAAACTATGATTGGTGATGCATCTGGAATATTTTTTTATCAGAGGCAAAGGGGGGAATGTGATGGAATTTCGGTGAAATGTAAGTTTAGTAGGCAGAGATTTCCACGTGGCATATGTGTATGTTGTATCAGTTAGTTAGTTACACGTAGCTAAGATACTATCATCAATGTACTGAGAATGTGCAGGAATGCAGGAACTGAAATTACACTCCTTTCTCCTTTGTTTCGGATGAGCCATGTGTTCTGCCCATATGAGGAAATCCAAATCCTGTCCACTGATTGGTTAAGGCCGCCCACCAGCTGGCCAACTCTTGGGCCCCCCATAAGTCAAGGCTAACAAGGTATTTGCCAGGGCACTTGAGAGGCGTTTTTTTGTCGTGCAAGGAAAATGCCTTGTTTGCCTTGTGCTAAATACAGCGCTGGTTGTGACACACTATGACCTATCATAAGTCCTAATTTTCACATTACCTCTTATTCCTCATATCTCCTTGCAAAACATTTAGGGAGCTATAAGAGACTATTATTTTTGGGGTTAAAGGGGGGGAAGAGAGGAGGGATACATTTGCTTAACTTAACCTAGGACTGCCTCATCCTAGTTACTGTGAAAAATGGGAATTCGGAGAGTTTGTTCTAGCAACAATGACTGGTATGGCACCGGTTACAAAACGTGGACTTCCTTACATATGTTAATTGGAGAAAAATTATGTGATAAGCTGTGGGTATACAAAGCACACATCTTCTGTAAGTCACCAGGGTGCACCAACACGTTGTACACCACAACACTCTATACGCCATTCCTTTTCTTTATCAATGTTTACTCCAATTTAAGCCCTCTTACAATTCTAAGTAAAGAATGCTTCCTCACCATGATAATCATTTGCTCAAGAGCACCAGGTGTATTACTATGACAGAACATGACATCATATTTCCGCAAACAAGGAGGAAAGTTGCTAGGATTAAACAACTAGAGGTTGATGCTCTCTCTCTCTCTCTGTATAAGGGAACAAACACCAGTAGGGAATCAATTGGACATGAATTAAGGTTGGAGCGGATTTGTATGGGAAAAGAGGGGAATGTAAGCCCAATTAGAGCGGACGAAATGGTCTGAACACAGGCTTTTCTACGAGAAGCCTTTGATTGCACCACAACATGAGTCCCTTTGTGATTTCAGGTGGAGAAGGGAGATCGGGGCCGGGACCATCTACCAGCACTGGATTACATGTGCGTTTTAACTAATTTTTTTTTATTATTTTTTTTTTACTTTTTAAGGGAGGGACCTATTATTAATGCCCCAAAAAAAGACCAAAAAAGGAAGCCGACTTAAGGGGTTTGAGTAACCATTTAACCAATACCAAGTATTAGTTTGTGCAACTTAAAAAAAAAAAAAAAAAATGTATCTCAGGGCACAGC